GTGTGTGTGTGCGTGTGTGTGTTGTGTGTGTGTGTGTGTGTGTGTGTGTGTGTGTGTGTGTGTGTGTGAGCAGCAGGTTTGAGTAATGTGGAGTGAAACCTGGCGTTAAAAGGATTACCCGCCAAAGAACACACAGCGCTCCGAGTGCAGACAACAGAGGAGGGGACAGATGCTAACCACAGCGGTACAGATGAGGTAGAGTCGTCACATTATGGGGCTGCAGGGTGAACGTCGCGTCTGTCTCCTTAAAGAAATGTCAATACACAATCAATAATCGAGCAAAACAGCAAAAAATGCAATTCAATCAAAAGATTTCACTTCTGCTTCAGTTACTAGAGCTCGATGTTTTCTGGTATATAACGAAAGAGGGCTTGTTGTTTTGCTTATGTTTAGCTATTTATTTGATTTATTCTTTATTTTCTCAGTCTTCATTATAGAATTGCTGTTAATTAATGTTATTTAACTTAAATATTCTTTCAATAAAAGGTATTTCTCTTCAGAAAACAGCCCTCCGAGCACCTTTGTATTGTCATATTGTTGCAAAATCTAAAGTTTATTGTCATTTCAGCTCAGAAATTTACTATAAATCAGCTGCCATATCTCTAAACGGTAAATATTTCCCCTTTAAAATCGGTATCGCCCGTGCTCTGATAGATACGTCTGATTGTAAACCAGTATACAACAATAATATGCACAATTACATGGTCCTAACTTTAATAACAGCTACTTGCTGAACTCAACATGTATATACCTTACAGCTATACATGCTCAGTGGCGTCAGTAATGGATTTTAAAGTCTCATAAAGCACTGAGCTATACTGTGAGAGCAGATCAAGATATGCTTGCTGTGCCTCAGGCTTCAGAGAAACCTTTATCAAGTTAGTCAGCTGGGGTTTCTTTCTAGCTTTCACCACATCTTAGAAAATGTCCTCACTTTCGAAGCTTCAACTCAAATTGCCCGTCACGAAGGTAAAACATCTCATTTACCTCGCCTCTACCTACTTGAACTCTCTGCGTTATTATCTTTTAGAGTCTGAGGACGGAGGAAAAAGATCACTCCCACCGA